ATGCCCTATTCCATCCTTGCCCCAGGTACCCACTAGAAGCCCAGGTTTAACTCGACCCCCTCCTTCCATTTACGAAACTGCTCTCACGGAGGGGTCAGATTTGGAAATGCTTATAAACTTATATACATTAAGATCCAAATGGCTGATAGTTTAAAAGTATTGCCTCCCACTTTTTTTTTTGCATTTAATGATAGCCAGAGACAACCCACATTCAATTCAATTTTAACATATTAAGCAGTTACTATGTTCTGTGCTCTGTTCTGGGCATATAAAGCTTAAAAAAAACTGCTCTCAGGGAGCTTACAGTCTAACATTTCCTACTAACAAGTATGGTATGTGCACAAGTATGATACAAAGGGCAAAAGAAAGAGAAAACACTTCCAGGGCTCAGGTTTCCTGATTGGAAAGTAGTATGTTCAGGGGTAGTGAATGAAACGAGGCTGGAAAAGTTGGGTGAAGCCAGCTTGATGACGGCCTTTCCTGCCAGGCAGAGGAATCTAGTTTTATCCTAGAGGCAAAAGGGAGTCAATAAAACTTTTCAAACAGGAAAATGACATGATAAGACCTGGACATAGGCAATTTCTAGGATGGATCAGAGAGGGGTGAGATTGGAAACAAAGATATCCATTAAGAAGTTTGTGATAGTGCCTGCAAGAAGAGATAAAGGCCTGATGTGACTTCCTAGGTGAGAGTATGGAGGAAGAATACTTTAATTCAACCAAAATTTACTGAATGCCTACTGTGAGCAAGGTCCTATACTGGGCACTGAATCGAATACTCTTTCCTAAATTTTCTTCATAAAGGCAAGACACCTTAATGACAAATTATGTTTCTATAACCCTTTAAGACTTCCAAAATTGTTTCCTGCATAGTAGCTGTTTGAGGTTGATAGTGTGATTATCACCATTTTACAAATGAGGAAACTGAGGCAAAGATAACTAATACTATTTATGTAGCAAGGTTTATAAAGTGCTTTTTAAAGAGTCAGGATGCTAGGAAGTGGCAGAGCTGGAATTTCTATCCTAATAACAACTCATAATTATGCAGTGATTTAATAACAGCTGATATTTCTATAATATTTATCTATAGTATTTAAATAGGTTTACAAAATGCTTTATATCTTAATCTCACTTGATGGTTTCCACCATCTTAAAAATTATTCCCAAATTACAGACTAGGAAACTGACATTTACAAAGATTAAGTAACCTATCCATGATCATACAACTGGTAAATTACAGGTAAGGATTTGAACTCAGGTCTAACACTCCTTCCATCATATTACGCAGCCTGTAAGTGTGTAGAGGTCAGAGTGGTCTTCAAGATTCAAGGAAAAGGAATCACTTGAAGGGTAGGTAGCACACTGTACCTAGGTATCTCCATTTCTTCACATTTTTCTCTATATTGTATAGCTTGGAAAATTTTGGTAGAGATTAGGTAAATAATTATGCTTTAGCTACAAAATTAAACTACCAGAAAAATCTCATTCTTGTTCATCCCTCTCAAGATGACATCGAGCTTGGCCAGTTGATCCACGTGTGGTATAGGCAGTGGGATTTGAATGTTTTGTTTTGTTTTGCCTAGGCAATGGGGTTAAGTGACTTGCCCAGGGTCACATAGCTAGTACGTGTTATGTGTCTGAGGCTGAATTTGAACTCAGGCCTCCTGATTTCAGGGCCTATGCTCTATCCACTGTGCCACCTAGCTGCCCCTTGGGATCTGAATGTTTAAGATTTACAAAGCACTGTTCTTACTATAATCCTACTGGATAGATAGTGCAAGTATTATGAAATCCATTTTACAGATGAGAAAATTGAGGCTTGGAGAGCAATAAAGAGATTTGTAGAAGGTCATAGCAGAATTTGAGCCTTTCTCTTGCCTCCCAAGGCCTGCATTCTTCTTACTATGGTACCTGACCTTTTCTATCTCATATTATCTACCGTATTTCTCTCATACTTTCCTACGATTATGATTCTTCTGCTTCTGATATTCCTTAAGCCTGGAAGACTTTCTCCTTCGATCTCCACCCATTTTAGTGCTCCCAGAAAAGGGCCACTTGGCTTAGTAGATACAGCAGTGGACCAGGAGCTCGGAAGACCAGGGTTTGACTCCTACCTCATTTACTGACCCAGCCAAGTCATACCCTGTGCTTCGGTTTCCTCATCTGTAAAATGAGGATAATAATACCACCAATCTCATGAGTTAGGAGAGTCAAATAAGAAAACATATATAAAGCATTTCACAATCCTTATATCGCCGTATAAATGTTAGCTTTTATTATTATTCCCCCAGAAAGCCTCTCCTAGACACTCACCACTTCCGCGCCCCTCCCCCTCAACCCCCCCACCTAGTATTTTACCCCTCTCTAATGCGGTTTTGTACTACTGTGTCAAAGTTATCAATATATATTAGTTCTGCTGCTAGGCCTCCAGACTTAGAAATGGAATGGACCTCAGAATCCAACATTCTTGTTTAGAGATGAAAACTCAAGAGGCACAAATATGCTAAGTTATCCACCCAAGGTCACACAGCTAGTAAGTGGCAGGGTTAGGGTCTGGCATGAATTCCACGAGTGCATAGTTGCCTCATAAAGGCAAGTAAGTGCTTCTGGATTTGGGAGTCTTTTAGGCCTGAGTTCAAGTCTACCTCAGATATTTACCTAGCTGTGTGACCCTTAACTGTTTTCAGCCTCAGTTTCCTCATCTGTAAAATGGAGGTGATAGTAGCACACAGGGTTGTTCTAAGGACTGGAATGAGTTAATACATGTAAAGCACTGAGCAAACCTTAAAACACTCTATAAACGCTAGCTATTATTAACTAAATTTTGCATCTCACACAGAAGCCAACTCAGTGCTTGTTAAATTTGCATCGCCCTTAATTATGTGCACGACTATACAGAATAAGCACTTGCTAAATGTTTTCTGAAAGAATGAAAGGGCTACTTTTAGAGAAGTTTTATTACTCGGATATCTAGTATCTCAAACTTGGCTAAGAAATGCCTAGTTTAGTTCCTAATGTGAACTGCCTTAATGAGCCCATAAGAACCACCTGCAACTTGATTGCACACAAAAGGGTGCTTCTGAAATGTCTATACTTAAAAAGGTATAAGTTGCTCACAGATGCTTCCTTCCTCCCCCATATGATAAAAATGAAATTTTAGCCCAAACCCAGTCTAAATTATTCCAAGAGTTGAATGAATGAAGCTCCAATCCTTTGAATTTTTGCTGTTCTTTCAAGCATAAGCTGGTAGCTTTAGAGCTGGAAAGGGATCTTAAAGGTCATTCATTTCAACTACTTTATTTTACTGATGAGGAAACTGAGATCCAAGGAAGTAATTTTCCCAAGGTCACATAAGTGGAAAGTGGCAGAGCTGGGATTTAGCCTCAGGTCTTCTCCAGGGTTCTTTCTACCACCAGCCCTTGCCAATTGTGCCCAATTTTCCAACCCTATAATTATTTTTAATTGCTCTCTCTCTGACCCATCCCCTAACCTTCCAGGTTCAGAAACCCTGAAAAGGGCATCCAGCTAAGCTACAGATAGATAGTGAGAGGTAGGGTAGATCCTCCCTCCCCAAGGCTGAGGTCAAAGTCAGATACACAACATTGAATCCTAGCTCCTTAAGCTACCTAAGAAATCACCTAGTCTAATGCTTTTTTTTTTTTTTGCTAGGCAATGGGGTTAAGTGACTTGCCCAGGGTCACACAGCTAGTAAGTGTTATATGTCTGAGACCGAATTTGAACTCAGGTCCTCCTGAATCCAAGGCTGGTGCTCTATCCACTGAACAACCTAGCTGTCCCAATGCTTTGATTTTATAGGTGAGGGAACTGATGCCCCCAAGAGAGGAATTCAACTGCACAAAACCAAGCCCATTCAGTTAGGGACAGGGGGCCCAGCTCTCTTGACTCCAAGGCAGGGCTCTTTCCAGGAGAGCAGACCACCTTAGACTATACCATAGGCTAGGCACTTGGTCCTGTTTGGGGGACCTCCTTCTTCCTCCAAATTTCTCTCAACTGGCCACCATTCAATGGGGAGTTAAGAGTCCTGGGTCTTATTTATGACTCTCCCATTTCATTAGTTGCTGGGGAGATGCTGAACAAGTCCCATTCCTCTGGGCTTAGTTTCCTCATCAGAAAAATGAAGACTCAACTCAGCTCTGACATTCTATATTCTTAGGTCCTTTCAAAAGCCAACATTCTCTTCTGTAAAGTGCATTCCAATTCTGGCACTGTATGGCCCTGCAGTTCCTCAATTAGACCCATCCCCCCCCCCCAGCAGAAGCAGCCCTGGCCTCCAGATTCTTACAGACAAACCTGTCCTGGACACAGCAGCAGGGACCCTGAGGGGTTCTAGTCCCAGCTTAGCCATTAGACTTGCTCTAAGATCTTTAGCAATCCACCCCTTCAGAACATCAGTTACATCTTTAACAGACAGGCACTGTTCTAGGTTAGGTGGCCTCTCCCGGCTTTTCCAGCCCTGAAAGTCGATGCATTCGTGCATCTCCCATCTCCACACGCCAGGTGAAGGATAGGGCTTTGGGCACATGACTTCCTCTTTCTGGGTCTCAGCAGCCAAAGAATCTCTTAGGCTCCCTTAGGAGTCCCGGTTCCCAGCTAGGAACACTGTTCTTATAGCCTGTCTCCTTTTTCCTTGCTAAGTTATTTTGAGCCTTTCAGTGACTAGGCACTAGCCTTCTACAGCCTCCAATCCAGGAAGCAGTGGGGTATTATCCTGCTCCGAGGGAGACCCAGGAAATGGCTTTCTGGGGCCTTTCACTGGAGTCCCCTTTATTCTCTGATCCTTGGTTTTCTCATCTGTAAAATGATAAGACAGTACTAGATGGTGCTCACAGAACATTGTCGGTTCAAAGCTCAAGGGCCTTCCGCTTATGACGTTCTAAGCTACAGCCCCTTTAAATTTCCTTTCTTCACAGAGGCCCCCCCTCCCCCCAGTCGGGATGTTGCTATAGTGAATCTCCTTGGCAATGACCCTAATGGGGTGGGGTGGAGGTGGGGGGAGACCCGGGGACGCATGCTCTGTGCCGGCTGGAGGGATTCCGCCTCGAGCTGGGGGTCCCCAAACAAAGGTGCTGGAAGGGTGAAGCTGCGTGGGCACTGTCGGGCACCGAGCTTAGACACATCTGCAGGGAAGGCGGTCGCAGCACAGTCGTGTCCCACCCATCTCTCGCCGATCCTTTCCTGCGGTTGCTGGGCCGCGCGCAGCCACGCGCACAACCTGCGGGCAGGCCACTCGCTATGGCCGCTCGGCCCGCCGCCGGGGCCCCGCTCTCGATGCTGTTCCCGCTGCTGCTGCTGCTGCTGGTCGCACCAGGGCTTCTAACGGCCGAGCCCGCATCAGGAAGTGTCATCCCGGCTGAAAGTAGGTGTTCTGCTGCCCCTCCCTCTACCCCTGGCCAGTGGGCTCATCTCTGCCCAGCGCCCTCTTCACCTCCCCTGTGCGCCCTGCTTGGCGCTTCCATCCCCGGCCCAGTGGGCCCATTTCTACCCTGCTGCAGCTTCCTCTTCTCTGTGCACCTTGCTTGGCGCCCGCCTCCCGAGGCCAGTGGGTCCATCTTTGCCCCCCTCTGTTGTGCGCCCACTCCAGTCTGGCCAGGCGCCTGCCTCCCTGGAGCCGGTGTTCCCAGTCCAGCCCCGCACCCCCCTAGCTTGTGCGCCCAGACCGATCTGGCTCGGCGCATCCATCACCGCGGCCTGTCCGTGAGCCAGCCCCTCCCCTGAGACGCCTTCTTCCGGACAGGTGCGCCCAGCCCATTCAAGGCTACCCTCCCCACATACAGGTCACCCTCCCTTCCTCCTTTTCTTCGTCCGTGAGCTCAGCACAGCCCGGCCAGCTCCGGGTCAGCATATCCCTCCCCGCGCCCACTGCGCCCTGCGCAGCCCGGCGCCTACCTGTCCTTGGCCCCGATTGCCAGGGCTGCCCGCCCCACCCCGCGTGGGCCGGACTCCTTGACCTCGGCCCGCACGGCGGCCCTTCTCCGTTCGCCGAGTAGAGCCAGGAGCCTCCCTCCCCACGACCCGGCCCATCACCTCCCTCCTTTCCCACGCCTTGCGGCTCCGTGGCGCCCCGCCCCATGGCGCACGAGCCGCTCCATCCACGTATCCAGCGTCCCTCCCCTGTGCGCCCTGCCCAGTCCACACAGCACATTCCTCCCCTCCCTAGGCTCGGGGCGCCCCCTATCGGGCTGGGGGGCTGGGGAGAGGGGTTGTTCAAGACCCCCACCTGGCAACAGTGCACGAAGTCACTGGAAGCTGCTTTAGGGGGTTGGGAAGGTGGGGCAGGGAAGAAGGATCCAGGAAACCCCTTCTCCCCTATCATGGGAGTATTGTTGGGCATCATTTTTGTTTGGTATGGGGGTGGGTTGGAGTGGGTAGGGAGTGAGGTTCACTGCAGATACTCAGAGGTTACCGCTCAGCGGGTGGAGGGAGGCTTTGGTCCTTTCCTGAGTCAGAGCCCTAAGTGATAGAAGGATGTCAGGGCTATAAGGGGGCTCAGAGCTCCATCTAGTCCAGGGGTTGGTTTTTCACTTTTTCTGTGTCTTAGACCCCTCTGGCAGTCTGGTAAAGATTGTGGACTCCTCAGCCTAATGTTTTAAGTGCATAAAATAAAAACGCATAAGATTACAAAGGAAGACAATTACTTAAAATACAATTATCAAAATATTTTTTAAAAAGTTCACTAGAATCTCTAATCTAGACCATTTCCTTCTTTTTACCCATTGTTCGACCAAGCCACTTACCTGATCAGAAACAGTCAGTGCCCCTTCCCCTTACATAAACTTCTGGTATTTAAGAACCTATATAGTCTGGCTTCAACCTGTAGTCTCAGCTTTATTTGATAATAGCTTCTTTCCTCATACTCTTTTAAATTCCAGCCTTGTGAGGTTGGTGCAGTAAGAATTACTCTCCTCTTTTTATAGCTGGAAAAAATAATACTTGGGGAGGTGAGATGATCTGCCCAGAGGTTGATCACAAACCTAACAGGGGTCAGAACCAAGACTCATACTCAAATCTGGTGGGTCCCCATCTAGTATTTTGGTTTTTTTCCCCTTCCTGTATAACAATGATTAGCCAAATAGCCCTGGGTTCAGATTTGGGCCTGCTGACCTCTCAATTCTTTGCTCTTGCTACTATACCTGGGCTGAAGGCGGGTAGGATTTGTATTGGTAGAGAAGAAAGGGGATTCATTTCAAAGGTGTGGAGGTGGAAAAATGCAAGGCATTTTGTGTATATGGTTTTTTAGTTTTTGTTTTTGTCTTTTGTTTGTTTGTTTGTTTGTTTTCTTTTAGTAGGAGGAGAGGAGCAGGCATGAGTTGACCAGACCAGTTTGGCTGAAGTAATGAACCTCACTCCGCATGAAAGTTTCATGCTTTGGAGTACTTACCTTGATATTTTAATGGCTCCACAAGTGCATGTGTGTCTTGGGAAGTAATGGGGAAAAAAACTGGAAAGGCAATTTGGATCCATATTTGGTAGGGCCTTGAATGCCAGGGTACACTCAGCAGGGGCATGATAGCAAATATCTGGAGGTCTCTCATTTAGAAGATGGATTACACTTGCCTTGCTTGGCTCTAGAGAGCAGGACTGGGAACAGCGAATAGGTGGGATCTGCAAAGAAGCAAATAAAGGGAAAGACCAGTTAGCATGAAGTAGAATGGGCTACTAGAGATCTTTAGACAAAGGCTGGATGAACCCCTGTTGGGGAGCAAAGGAGATTCTTGGTCAAGTAGAGGTTAGACCAGATGGCTTCTGCTGAACTTTGAGTTTCTGTGATTCTTGTGTTCTGTGGTTTTGATCCCAGTTATTATCATCTAGTTCAGATCACTCATTTTATAGATAAGGAAACTTGAAACACATTTCTGTAGGCCTTTGATTTAAGGATTATGTAGAATCCCTTATGGGGCTACCCTTCAATGTGGTAATTGCCCCCAAGAGGGCAGCTCCTACTGAAGTCTGAAGGTACTGCATGGCTCTGCACTTCTAAACTATAGCTCATGAGACCCTGCCAGTGAGTTTGCCTTTAACAGTCAGCCAGTAGATACAGTTAGCTCAAAGCAAAGGCGTTTACTGAGATGGTATATGAACAGTTACTACAGAACATTCCTTCTTAAAGAGTGTGCTCTCCCACAGATATACCTGGCTTTGGTGAGAAGAGTAGATCCATGCATAGTGTACTGTGGTAGTGAAGTCCACACTTAGGGATGTGGCCAAGACGACTCATGCCTCTGGCATTGTAGGACTCTGAGGGCTTTCCTCTTAAGTACCTTTCGGTAACTGGATCATTTTTGGGAGAGAACTAACCCTAATTCTTGGTGACTATTCACTGTTCAATACATTCTTTAAAAATACATGTATAATTATTATTACGAACTTAACAATCATCAACAGAAATGAATATTTTCATATACAAAAAGGTCAAGAAAGAGGTTGCATGTGAAACTCTAAATTAGTTATGTACAGCTTTTTTCAAGGTTTATATTAAATTTCGCATGATAGAACCAATATGTCCCAGATTATCTGTATCTCCTTCTTTTGAAGAATTTCTTTCCACTCTTTTCTGTGTCTCTTAAAATGTTTAATTGAAGCTTTTTTCTTTTCCTCTTTCTTTTATATCGCTCTAACCACCCTCGTGTTTTCCTCTCCCCAATAAAAATCCTTGACAAATAAGAAAACTCAAAGAAAACAGATCTGTCTTGTATTAGTCAAGTCTGGAAATGGGTGTCTCATTTTGCACCTGTAGTTCGTCACCTGTCCACAAGTTGGATAAAAGTTGGGAAGCATACTTCAGCACCAATCTTGCCATAACTAGGCAATGGCTGTTTGCCTAGGGATCATGAAATGGCTTTGGGGTTCAGGGGTTCCCAATTCTTTTAACTCATTCTTATAGATGAGAAAAAGGTACAGAGGCAATTGATGTCCTAGGGATCAGTTAATTTTCTCTGCTGGTAACTCAGTTCTTTTTTTGACATTTTTCACAAGCCTTGTATCCTTTACAGCTACAAATGAGGCTACTCAAAATTTTGTTTAAATTCCTTTACAGCACACACAATGATTCAGAAGGTGCTTATCCTTTACTCGGGCCTCAGTTCTCTCATCTATAAGATGAGTGGGTGGCTGATATCACTATGATGACCAAAATGCCCATTTCCTAGAGAGCTGCTGTTTAAAGAGGGGCCACTGGATGGGCGCAGTGGAGAGCGTTCCAGGCCTGGAGTAAGTTCAAATCTGGCTTCAGATACTTACTAGCTGTGTGACCCTGGGCAAGTCACTTAACACTGTTTGACTCAGTTTCCTCACCTGTAAAATGAGCTGGAGAAGGGAAGGGCAAACCAGTCCAGTATCTCTGCCAAGAAAACCCCAACTGGGGTCACAGAGAGCTGAACAACAGCGACTTGTGGAGAGCAGGGGCCATGGCTTGCATACTTAGCTTTGTCTTGTGGCACCCAACTTAAGGCTGTGTACACAGTTGCTGTTGAGTTGTTTTAGTCTGACTCTTCTGGAGTAGGTTGCCATTTCCTTCTTCAGCTCATTTTACCGGTGAGGAAACTGAGGCAAACAGGGTTAAGTGACTCGCTCAGAGTCACACAGCTACGAAGTGTCTGAGGTCAGATTTGAACTCATCAACATGAGTCTTCCCGATTCCAAGCCCAGTGCTCTATCCACTACACCACTGCCCACGTACACAGTGTCAGCCCTGTAAATTGAGGGTGGTAATGATGGCAAGGGTCCTGTTGACCTCTTCTTTCTCCTGGATGGCCTTTTTTCCCATGGCTTCCATGACACCGTGCTCCTCTGGTTCACCCCTAGTCTGCCTCAGCCTCCCCTACTGGTTCATCGTCTTCTGACCTCTAAACATACTTCTCCAAAGATTTATCATCACTCCATTTCCATCCTTTCTCTACACTCTCTTTCTTGTTGATGTCATCCGTTCCCATGGCCTCAATTATCACCTCTCTGTCAATGACTCCCAATTCTATTGCTATCTAGTCCCAATCTCGATCATGAACTCCTGCCCCATGCTGACATTTGCCTGCTGGAATCTACAGCTGGAGGCCTTGCTTGCACTTCAGACTCACCTCCCAAAATGGAACTCAATATCTTCTCTTCTCCCAACGTCCCTAATTCTGGTGATAGCCTAGGCCTCGTAATCAACAGGACTCTAGACTTTGGAGTCATCTTTGGCTCTTCCCCCTATCTTATTCCTCCAAGCAATCAATCCGGCCAATCAGTCGATACGTATTGTTCATTCTACCTACAAAACACCCTCTGAGGATGCTGTGGGGTCAGTGGGGTACAGAGCACTGACTCTGAAGTCAAAGGATCTCTCTTCAAATCCCACCTTGGTACCCATTTACCTGTATGACCTTGGGCAAGTCACTTGCCTTCCTTGGCCCTCCAGTTTCCTCCTATGTATGGGAGAGTTGGACTAGATGATCTCGGAGAGGCCTTTCATCTCAAGATCTAAGATCTCATGAATCTCAGTGCCATTACTCTGTCACTACTCAGAGGGCTATCACTCTGGTTCGGATCTTCATCACCTTTTGCCTGGAGTATTATGGTAGTCTCCAAACCAGTCTCCTGGCCTCTAGTCTAGGGGGTTTTCACCTTTATTTTTTGTGCGCCATGGACATCTTTGACAGTCTGGTGAAGCCTATAGACAGACTTCTTTTCAGAATCATGTTTTTAAATGAAGGGAGTGCTAAACTTCAATTAGAGACTAGTAGAAATAAAGATGTTATTTCCCCCTGTCATCCAACTTCACAGACTCTTTAAAATCTATCTGTAGACTCCAGATTCCGAACCCTTTTTCTAGCCTCTTCCTTCACTAATCCATCCTTCATAGACTGCCAGAATAATCTTCCAAATACACAGGTCTGACCCTGGCCCTTCTCTGCTCAAAGCCTTTCAAGAGCTCTTCATTTCTCCTAGGATAAAGTTCAGATTACTCAGCCTGGCATTTAAGGTCAGCAGTCTGGATCAAAGAGAGCTTTCTATTCTGATTTCATGTATTCAGCTTCCCACACTGTATTTGCCAGCCAGGCTGGATGTTTCCCAAACTCAACAGACCATCTCCCCCAGTTTCCCCATCTCTAAAATGAGATCACACCCAGCTGTAATGTTCTGTGTTCTCAAGTCCCTTCCCCCTCTGACATTCCCTATTTTTAAGTCCCTTCTATCTCTGGCATTCAATGTCCTATGCTCTAAGGTCCTCAACAACTCCTGACATCCTATGCTCCGAGGCCTTTCCTGGATGGACGTCATTCTCTGTTCTCAGCTCCCCTTCCAGCTCTGACATTCTATAATTCTTTCCCGTATGCACATTGTCTCCTCTCCCTCACCCTCTCCCAACTTACTATTGTTCACTACTCACTTGCCTACACTTCCTCAAACATCTCACACTCAAAGCACACACACTTTAGCGGCTCAATTCTTATTGAATACTTTAAAAAAATAAGAAAGAGCACAAAGAAAACAGGTGCCTATATAGTATGAAGTTGGCTTGGGAGCATCACTTAAGAAGGATGTTGACAAGCGGCTATAAAACTGTGCATACCCTCTGACCGAGCAATACCACTACTAGGATTGTATCTCAAAGAGATTAGAAAAAAGGGGGAAAGGACTTATTTGTACAAAAATATTTACAGCAGCGATTTTTGTGGTGGCAAAGAATTGGAAATTGTGGGGATGCCCATCAACTGGGGAATGGCTGAACAAGTTGTGGTATATGATTGTGATGGAATACTGTTGTGCTATAAGAAATGATGAGCAGGTGGACTTCAGAAAAACTTGGAAAGATTTACTTGAACTGATGCTGAGTGAAGTGAGGAGAACCAAGAAAACAGTATACACAGTAAGCAATATTGTATGATGGTCACCTGTGAATGACTTTGCTATTCTCAGCAATACAGTGAGCCAAGAAAATTCCAAAGGTCTCTTGCACAGAAAGAATTGATGGAGTCTGAATGCAGATTGAAGCCTAAAGGGTTTTTTTTTTTGGGGTGTGTGTGTTTTCCTTTTGGTCTGTGTCTTCTTTCACAAAATGATTAATGTGGGAATATGTTTCACAAGATTGTATGTGTATAACCTATATCAAATTGTTTTCCATCTCAGGGAGGGGGTAAGTGAAGGAGGGAGGGAGAAAATTTGGAATTCAAAATTTAAAAAAAGAAGAATGTTAAAAATTATCTTTACATGTAATTGGGAAAAATAAAATATTATTTAAAATTGAAAGCTTAACATGGGTGATCAATACAACAAAAAAGAAAGATACTGACAAACTGTAGTGGGTCTGGAGGAATCACCAGGTTAGACATCAGGAAGAATCTGAAAGATGGAGAAAGAGTACTTAGATTTAGGAGTAAGAATGAAATGGTGGCTTACTGTGAGTGAGGGTTTGGCCTCCCCTTGGAGAGGCCAGAAGGTACAGTGGGAAGAATGCTGGTTTTAGATTAAGATGATCTGGGTTCACATTCTGCCTCTGATGCTCATACCTCAGTGACCTTAGATAAGTAAGTTCACTTCTCTGGGACTCAGTTTCAGAAAGTTTCCGTTTCACAGATTCAGAGCTGGATGGGACTTTAGAGGTAATTTAGTCCAATTATTTCACTTTATACATGACTAAATTGAGTGCCAGAAAGGTTAGTCAGTCAATAAATATTTATTATAAGCCTACTATGTGTCAGGCACTGTGCTACTAACCACTGGAAAAGTGAAGTATGACTTGTTCGAGGTCATGCAGAGAGTAAGTAGAAGGGTCAGGATTTGAACCCACATCTTCTGACCTGAAATCTCAAACCTCATACTGTATATTCTGCTTGGCCCCAAGGGAAAGAGCTAGGAACAACATGGGTAAGTTACAGAGAGGCAAATTTTAGGTTGTTACGTATGGAAAAAGTTCCCAACTGTTCCAACTATCCAGAAGTAGAAGAGATTATCTTATGAGCCAGTGAGCCCCCCATTGTTGGAGGTGTCCAAGTGGTATTTGGAACACTGAGCACCCTCCAAGCTGCAAAGCTGCAGTCCTGTGCTCCTCCTCATTAGGGATGCTGCTGCTTCCTCGTTCAAGTAGCATTTGAACTGGATGATGACTGAGGTCCTTTGGCATTTTCTTGGACCCTCCCTCTTCATCATCTCTTAATCCAAGCAGAGCCAGTGTTTGCTTCCTCCCTTCCCATGATTCCACCACTCCAGGATGCAGTAGGTGTACTCTGGGATAGTGTTTGCAGTCTCACCTGAGGGTTTTCATCCCTCCAAGCTGTGCCACCGACTCATTGTGTGGGATGTTGGGAAAATAAATCCCTTTTTTTTCTGTCAGTTGAGCCACTGGGACCCGATGACCCCCAAGGCAGCTTTCTGGTGGGGCAACTCTTCTTAGCTCTGACATTTTGGGACTCTCCCTATGTCCCCCAGGTCGACCTTGTGTGGATTGCCATGCTTTTGAGTTCATGCAGAGAGCCCTCCAGGACCTGAAGAAGACTGCCTACAACCTGGACACACGGGTGAGTGTCTGCAGAATGAAATCGTGGCTTGCCTTGAGGGAGGGTGCAGAAAGCACTTTTACATCGTCCCCTTGAGGAGATTGAAAGGGACAATGGGGAAAGCGCTGGATTTAGGATTAGAGGAAGGAGCTGGGTTCAAATGCTGCCTCTGTTACTTACTGCCTGGATGACCTTGGATAAGTCAGTTGACCTCTTTGGGACTCAGTTTCCTCATCTGTAAAACAAGGAGTTGTGCTAGATGACCTCTAAAGTTTCTTCCAGCTCTGAGATTCCATGACCAGACTACCTTTTATTTTTATTATTGTTTTTTGTTGTTAACAATACTAGTAGCTAGCGTTTGTATAGAGTTTTAAGGTTTGCAAAGTGCTTTATGTATGTGATCTCATTTGATCCTCACAACAGCCCTGAGAGGTAGGTGCTATTATTATCCCATTTTACAGAAGAGGAAACTGAGGCTGAGAGAGGGGAAGGGACTTGCACAGAGGTTTCACAGCAAGATACATAACTGAGGTAGGATTTGAATCCGGGTCTTTCTGATTCCACATCTAACCTCCTTCTGTACTATATACCATGCTGTTACAGAAGAGGAAGCTAAGGCACAGAGTCAGTCAATGAACATTTATTAAGCACCTGCTATGTTCCAATCACTGTGCTAGGTACTGAGGATATGAATAAAGACAAAACCATGGTCCCTGCCCTCAAGGAGCTTACATTCTGTTGGGGGAAGCAACATGCAACAACTATGTATTTCAAGATACACCCAGTATAAATGGGTGGCAATCTCAGAGGGAAGAGTCTAATAAGGAGCTGCGGTGGGGCCTGGAAAAGAGTAAGCAGATGACTTGCCTTGGGTCACATAGTTGATGGCAAAACTGGGATTAGAACCCAAGTCTCCTGGCTCCCAGTCAGGGCTCCTTCTGTTTTGCTGTGATGCCTATAGAGTCTCTAAAGAGTGACTTAGACCGTCAGACTGTAGGAGTTGAAAGAGAAAGAAAAATCATCACCAGAACTCACATTTCTATACCATCTGAAGTTGTACAAAGCATTTTCCTCATAATAACTCTGGGAGGTAAGTAGTATCAGTCCCATTTTATAGATGAGAAAAGAGTGTCTTAGACAAGTTAAGTGACTTGCCTAAGGTCAAACAGTGAGTTAATATTGGAGCTTGGATTTAAATCCAGGTCTTCTGTTTCTTAGATCCAAATTTTATGACTGCATATAAAAGGCTTGTTAAGTATAAAGGATAGGGGAGTTTAAGGACTGGGCTTATAATTTCATTGGTATGGGGAGCCACCAAGGAGAACTTTGGTTGTCGTCTGGGTTTCTAAGGACACTTCTTCCTGTTCTTGTCTTCTTCAGTTCTGGGACCAGTTCATTGTCCATCCATGGTGTCTGTTCACAATGTGTTAACTGATGGACTAGTTCTATATAACATCTATTCAAAGGCACACCGCAGTTAGGACAGCAAGTATCCTTTATCCACTTGGTTTTCCCTGTGTGGATAGTTAAGCAGAACACTTGAGAGATTGTAACTCTCATTTAAAAAGCTCTGGAGTTTTGGAACTTGATGAAATCAGCTCAGTTGTTATCCGTAAACAAAAGTATACAGGGGATCTGTCCTCAATGTGGACTCTCTGGGGGACATATTCCTTCACACTAATAAGTAGCTTTGGAGAGTATATGTCTCTGTTTTATGCTTCCTTTAATATTTGTAATCAGAGTTTTATCAAAGTAATTTCTATCCTGGATTTTGACATCCGAATGGAGCCTTTATGGCCAAATGTTACTCTGCAGAATCAAATGTATTATTATAGTCAACTTACAGTCAGTAAGTGCAGTGAGATCTGGGATGCTCTTATCTTTCACTAAGTTTTTTGGCTATAAAGATATGGCCTACTGCAGAATATTGTTTGTAGAAAGCCTGCATATTCCCTTCTCAAATCTTTATCAAGGATGATCTCAATATGTGTGTATCCAGAAATATTTTGTAGAGATAGGAAACTAGGCATGGATGAGTAGGGACTAATTTTTTTTTGGTTGCAGGTGTTTTTTTGGTAGTAACAAAGTCTGATTTTTCTCCCTAAGGATTAGATATCCTCCCCTCTTTCAGTTATCTTGAGAACTGACTCTTAATGGCAATTATATATATATATGTGCGTGTGTGTATATATATATATATATATACATATATATGTATATATATACATATATATACATATATATGGAAAGGAAGGGAGTTTATCTGTATCAGATCTCAAGCATTAAAACAATATGGTGCTGGATAAAGAATAAAGAGGTTGTTCAGTGGAACGAATTAGGTGCAAAACATACTAAAGCAAATGAACAAATAGCATGTTGTTATTGTTGTCCAATCATCTCAGAAATGTCTGACTCTCTGTGACCCTGTATGGGGTTTTCTTTGGAGTGGTTTGCCATTTCCTTCTCTAGCTCATTTTATAGGTGAGGAAACTGAGGCAAACAGGGTTAAGTGACTTGCCAAGGGTCACCCAGCTAGTAAGTGTCTGAGGCCAGATTTGAACCCAGGAAGAGGAGTCTTCCCAACTCCAGTCCAGGGCTCTGTGCACTATGGTGCCACCTAGCTGCCCTGGTAGTGTTTGATAAATCCAAAAATTCCAGCTACTGAGGGAAGGACTCCTTATTTGACAAAAACTGGTGGGAAAACTGGACAGCAGTCTTACAGATATTAGGTTTAGACCAATAGCTCGTGCCATATGCCAGGAGAAGGTCCAAATGAATACATGGCCCAGATATAAAAGGTCACATCATAAACAGATTAGAGGAGCAAGGAAGAAATAACCTTTCTGATCTATGGATAAGGGAGAGTTTATAACTAAATAAGTAAGTACTAGAGAGGACCATACAGGAAAAAATGGATAAATTCTGGTTATGTAAAACTACAAACTTTTTGCACAAACAAATCTATTGTAATTAAAGTTAGAAAGGAAACAAGTAAACAGGAAAAATATTGGCAAGTTCCTCTGATAAAAATTTTATTTCTAAAATATAAAAGAAAATTTATTCCAATTTATGAGACTGAGCCATTCCCCAGTAGATATGAGCAAAAGATATGAGCAAGCAGTTTTCAAAGGAAGAAATCAATCTATCAACAACCATACAGAAATGTTCTACATCAGTAATAACAGAGAAATGCAAATTAGAGCAACTCTGAGGTCCTACTTTACACCCATTGGACTGGAAAAGATGACAAAAGAGGAAAATGACATGTTAAAGGAAACAGGTACATTAATATGCTGTTGGGGGAGCTGTGAATTGATCCAGCTATTCTGGAAAGGAATTTGGAACTATGCCCAGAAAGTTAGTAAACTATGTATGCCCTTTGACCTATTACTAGGTATATACCCCAAAGAGATCAAATGAAAAAGGAAAAGGACCTTTTTATACAAAAATATTTATAGCAGCTGTTTTCATAGTAACCCAGAATTAGAAATTGGGGATGGGGTGTCCTCTTATTGGGGAAGGACTAACCAAACTGTGGTATAGGAATATAATGGAATATTAATGTGCTGTAAGAAATTATGAAGTGGATGGTTTCAGAGGAAATTGGGAGGATCTCTGCGAACTGATATAGAACAAAGTGAGCAGAGCTAAGAGAACAATAACAATATTATTGCAGAGAAAAACAGCTTTCAAAGACTTTAGAACTCTGATCGATGCAATTATAAGCCACAAGATCAGAGGACTGAAGATGAAATTGGCCACTCACCTTCTGCCAGAAAGGTGATAAAGTTAAAATGCAGCGGGATGTATACATTTTGGGGTACGGCCAATGTGGGAAATTTGCTTTGCTGTCTTACACATATTTGGGCAGCTAGGTGGTACAATAGAGTCAAGAAGACTCCTCTTTCTGAGTTCAAATCTGGCCTCAGACACTTACTAGCTGTATGACCCTTGGCAAGTCACTTAACCCTGGTTACCTCAGTTTCCTCACCTGTAAAATGAGCTGGAGAAGGGAATGGCAAACTACCCTAAGATCTTTGCTAAGAAAACCCAAATTGGGGTCACAAACAATTGAACATGACGGAAATGACTGAACAAATGCATGTTTATCATGAGGATGTTTTTAGTTTATTTTTTTATTATTGGCAAGGAGTTACAGATTATAAATGCATGTAAAATAAATTTCTTTTTTTAAACAAGGTTGACCAGTAGCATCCTCAAAATTATGTTCCCTCCAGTGTGGATCTCTTCTGTATATACTTGGTTTAATCCAGATGCTTTTACAATATTTGTTTACTTTAGCACCATTTACAATTTCATACTTTCACAATCAAGAACCCTGATGTGAGAGACCAAATCTGGGAGTTTCATTGTCATTGAAAGAGAAGAGAGTTCATTATAGAAATCTTTATAGATCTTTTTTATTTCCATCAGTTTGTTCTCCTTCCAGAATCATTCTTCAGTACCCTCGAAATGATCTGGTTTAGTTGGGTCTGTTGCTGAGTTTCCTGTAGGCTTTTTTTCCTTCCACTGCTTATCAGTATTTTACAAAGCAATGCTATTCATAATCTTCCACCATCCTCTGTGAGATTTTATAAGTGAATTTACATTTTAAATAATGCTGTCCTTGGCTATCAAATCTCCGTAGTTGGCAGGTGTTTGTTGGCTGAGGTGGTTTCTAGGGTCTTTTGGTGTCTTCATTGTGGCGATTGATTTGCGCTGGTTAAAATTCCTTAGTAAGAGGTGGTAGTCTGTGTTGATGTCTGTTCTTTTATCTATCTCCCATCTTTTGTTATCAACATTTCAATGACTTGTTGAAGTATGTCGGGTTGGAATTGTCTCTATTATATGCCATATCTTTTCTTATTCTTCCTTCTAATTTTTTAATTGATTTTTATCTTTGTTCTAACAAATTGATGGTCTGACTGTATGCAGATAGCTAAATGATTCCCACAATTGTAGTCATTTCCTGTCTTTTAAGATATCAGTTTCATTTTTTGTAATGTTAGTGCTTATCATGCCCAATGCCTCCCAACTCTCTCCTTCAGGATATATTCCCGATGTATAGGCAAGAGGTTTCTGCCAGCCTTTAGTCTCTCTTCTGAGACTCCTGAACCATGGTTCCAATATATTTTTCACTGCCTTCTCCTTTGTCTATCTTACCTTCAAAGCCATTGTATATTCAAGGCTATGCTGATTTAATTTTAAGGGTGTCATCCAGTTCTTAAGATTCCTTTGTCCCCTTATCCTCTGCCCCAGATGTTGGCTTGCAAGTTATAGTTACCTTTAGGGTTGTCTTTTTGTAAATATTTATTATAAGCATTGTAATATGAGACATCTGAGTGTCCCACGAAGTGGCAAATGTTTCTTGTTGGTCATGACCAAGTCAACTCTTTCACCTCTTTTCTTTGGCCCTCCAAGGAGGACCCATGAGCAATTCTTTCCTTCCTTTTGCCTTCTGGTTTTATTCATAGCAGAAATGTCAAAGTGGCTATGATCCATTTCCCCCAGTAATGCATCATTTTCGCTGTCACTGGACAAAGATCTCACATTCATTGTTGTTGTTCAATCATGTCTGACTCTTCATGACTCCATTTGGAGTTTTCTTGGCAAAGATACTGGTTTACCATTTCCTTCTCCAGCTTATTTTACAGACGACTAACGGAGGCAAATAAGGTTAAATGACTTGCCCATGGTCACATAGCTAGTAACTGTCTGAGGCCAGATTTGAACTCATAAAGATGAATCTTCCTGACGCCAGGCCCCACACTCTATTCACTGTACCACCTCACTGCCCCCAAACTCTCCCCACATTCAAAGTACCAAAAAGGTAAATGAGTATTTCCAGATGGACTAAACCAGGGTTTCTTCACTTTTCTGTGTGTGTTATGGACCTCTTAGGCAGTCTAATGAAGCCTGGGGACCCCTTTTTGGAAGAATGTTTTTAAGGGCATAAGATAACCAAAGACAAAACCATGGAGATCGTGGAATGCTTAAATGCCTTTGGAAAAGTGAGTTGCCCCTGACAGGTGAAAATGAGCCTTCATAGGTTAACGATTAATGGCGTGGGTAGACTTTTTCTAACATGTGGGTGGGCTAAAAGCCCTCAGCCCCTTTTGTTGGGAACATGGCTTGATCATGAGATTCAGCTGCCTCCCACACTCCAGACCACTCAAGTTGAATGGGAGGGGAGGGGGAAGGGGGGACAGGTGGATTTCAAGGGTGTGAGTCCAATGCTTTTTAGGGCTGGAATTCACCTAGATTAGATTCTCTAGGTGAGGAGCGTTCCTGGGCAATATCATCTATCCAAAGTATTCTTCAGAGATTGACCCACAGGGGCTGGGCTCTGAATGAGGAAATAAAAAGAGAAAAAACTCAAATCTCAATATTAATCTAATATAAAAATAATCATTAATCTCAGTGTGTGACCCTAGGGAAGTTGCTTTACCACTTGGTGCTCTAGGCCAGTGGGGTCAAACTCAACTAGAAAGGGGGGCCATTAAGCCATGCATATATTGACTTAGTTTAAAATGTAATATCATGTGTTTTATTGCATTTTTTGTTAAATATTTCTCAATTACATTTAATCTGTTTTGGGTCTACTTGAGAGTGTTATGGGAATGTTTGATAGCTCTTCTGTAAGACAATAAGATGCCGAGAGATGGTGATGAGCATTGGTAGAGAGAGTTCCCTAGACCATTGAAATCACAAGTACAGTCCATTACCCCCTCCCCCCACTTTTCTCCAGAATGTTCCCCATTGCTGCTGGAATGCTGCCTCTCCTGTTTTGTGGATTCCTTGGCTTCCTTCAAATTCTGGAATCTCTTCTGCAGGTGGCCTTTTCCTTTCCATCTAGTTGCTGGTGCCTCCCCTGTGACATTACCTCTCATCTGCTTTCCCCCCCTCTTTCCCTCCCTCTCCCCCTCCTCCTTCCTCCCTCCCCACCCCAAGTGTGTGAGCACATGCCACATGGTTTTTGCCTAGTTGGATACATTAGGATGTAAGTTCCTTGAAGGCAGGGACTGTTATACCTTTCTTCTTATTCTTTTTTTTTTCTGGTGAGGCAGTCGGGGTTAAGTGACTTGCCTAGGGTCACACAGCTAGTAAGTATAAAGTGTCTGAGGTCATATTTGAACTCGGGTCCTCCTGACTTCAAAGCCAGTGCTCTATCCACTGCGCCACCTAGCTGCCCCCTTTGTATTCTTAATACCTAGCCCAGGATCCTGGACATAGTAGCTGCTTAATACATGTTTACTGAATTCTTATGAATTGGCCATTCATGTCCTACCTGAAGACCTTCTAACCCCACAGGGCTGTTGTACTGGACCTAGAGTCATAAGACCTGAGTTTGAATACTGGCTTTTCTACTTCTTGGATGTATGACTGTGGGCAAGTCACCTCCTATCTTTGGGCGCCAGCTTCCTGATCTAAAAAATGAAGGGATTGGGCCAGATGATCTCAAAGGGCTTTAACATTCTGTGGTTCTATGGTCCCTGCCTTCAGGGATCTTGAGGTCTGGGGAGGGGGGGTGGGGAACAAGGGGAGAGGGAGAGGGAGAGGAGGCTGGTTATGAAGTTCAGCTGAGATATTAGGAGGGGCCTTTGGAAAGGATGAATTACTACATGGGTGAAGAGGTTATTATAATGGTCTAAGTCGACTCCCTTTCTCTCTCACTTCACAGGCAAGTATTAAAATGCTCATTTCTCTGCTTCTTTTGCAGACAGAGACCCTCCTCCTACAGGCTGAAAGAAGAGCCCTGTGTGAATGCTGGCCGGCGGTATCCTAGGCCAATCCCGTTTCTGCCCTGCAGTTTAAAAACAAAAACAAAACTGCAGGAAACTGGCTCAAGATGTAAGCCTCTGAACCTCCCCAGAAAGAAAGGGGTTGTTCCTCGTCCTTCCCCCCAGAGCACATCTTCCCTGCTTCTGCCTGCATCACCTCAGCTCTGGCCCCTGCACTGTGAACACTCATGTCTGCGGGCCAGGGAGCCCCTGACACAAGGCCAGTTTGTCTTTGGTCCCTCCCATCTCCCTTTCAGGACCCCTCATCCCCCTCCTGGGCCCTGCCTCCCATCCATACTAAGGTGCTAAGGTATTATTGACAGGAAGAGCCCCCCAAAGCTGTGAGCGCCTAGGGGTGCTTCAGTTCAATTCAATAAACATTTTGTCTTTCAGCTTCCTGCTCCCTAGTTTTGAGTGTTTCTGGCCCTCTTTTTCTTCTTTATCTCTCTTCTTTTTCTCCCTCTTCTTTCTTTCTTCTCTGTTTCTCCCTTCTCTCCTCTCCCTTCCTTCTCTTTCTTTCTTCTCCTCTTTTTCTTTCTCCCCTCTTTCTCCTTTCTCTTCATTCTCTTCTTTCTTTCCTCTCCCCTCTCTTTCTTTCCTTTCTCTCCCCTCTTTACTCTTTCTTCTCCATTTCTCCCTCTCTCCTTTCTCTCTCCCCTTTCTCTCCTTTCTCTTCTTTCTTCTCTCTCCCCTCTGTTTCTTTCCCTCTTTCTTTCTCTCCCTCTCTCTCTCCCCTCTCTTTACTCTTTCTCTGCCTCTCTCCTTTCTCTTTCACTCTCTTCTTTCTCTCCCCTCTCTTCTCTTTCCTCTCTTCACTCTTTCTTTTCTGTCTCTCCCTCTCTTTCTCTCCCTTCCCTCTCTCTTCTGTCTCTTTTTCTCTCTCCCCCCTCTCTTCTCTCTCTTTCTCAACTCATCCGCTTCCACAACTTCTTCTGGAGTCATTCCCACATGGAGGCGACTCCCAGCTCTCTGCCCTGAGCTCCTGCTAGCCCTGCTGGGCACATGCATTTGGCTTTTCCACCATCTCAAGCTCAATGTGTCCCAAACTGAACTCATCCTCTGAAAAGTGGGGAGAGTAATACTTGCACTACCTACCTCACAGACCTGTCCTAAGGAAAGTGCTTTGAAAAACCTAAAAGCACTGAAGAATCGTGAGTTGCTCTATATGTGAGTTATTATTTCTCCCAAGTCTGCCCTGCTTCCCAGCTTCCCTTTTCTTTAATGGCACCACTGCCCTCCCAGCCATCCAGGTTTGCAACCTTGAAATTGTCCTAGACTCTTCCCTCTCCCTCCCTACTCCCCTTCTCCCCTTCAGTCAGCTGAGAAGTCCTGTTAATTCTACTTTTCCAACTGTTCTTGTGAGTTGAATCCACTCTCTTCTCTCTCCTCTCCCTGGCTTCTGTCCTAGTGCATACCCTCATTACCTTGACCAGGCCATCTGTGATAGACTCCTAATTGGTTTTCCTACGTCTAGTCTCTCCCTTCTTCCCTCCCCAAACCATCCAACAGATAGCTGCCAAATTAATCTTCTTAAGTATAGTTCTGACCAGAATGCTCCCTTGCTGAAAAACTGTCAGTGGCTACCCATTATCTTCAGGATAAAATGGAAGCTCCTGATTTTGCAGATTCAGTGCTGTCCACAATTTGGTTCCAACTTCTCTTTGCAGTATTTCATTCATTCTGTGCCCCTAAATGCACTGAGCACTGGAGCCAGACTGGACTAGGTATTGCCCTGCCCATGCCAGTCTTGCCCTGTGTTCTTCTGCCCCCACAAATTCACACAGGTTGTCCTTGGGAGAACCTGGAACATATTTCCTTTCATTTCTCCTGGGTAAAGTTTGAGGCTCAGCTTATGTGCCACTTCGTCATGAAGCCCTCTCAGATAGATCCTCTACCCTAAGATTTTGCTCCTTAGACTTTCCCATACTACTTTGGATCTCTCCTTTGTTTCTATCTCACCCTACCTTGTGAAAGACTTGTCTGTGTGTATGCCTTATCACCCCCTAGTAGATTGTAAGCCCCTTGAGGGCAGGGGATGGGTCATTTGTCATCTTTGTATCCCTAGCTCTGAGCACAGGGCCTGGAACATAGTAAGTACTTATAATAAATGTTTGTTGAATTGAATGGAATTGAGTGTGTTAATGGCTGGCAAAGCCTTCTGGTGTGACCTCTCCCAAGGGTGCTTGAGTTTTAATAGGAGACACAGGGCCTTAACCCAAAGGATTCATTCCTTTAATGTTGAGAGGCAATCAGGCTAGAACATAAAAAGACCTGAAATGGGATCCTGCCTCACTTACCTAGCTGTGTGATCTTAAAATCTTTTTCACCTTGAGTTTCCTCATTTGTAAAATGGGGATAATAATAGCACCTCTTTCCCAGGGTTGTTGTGAGGATCAAATGAGATAACATATGGGAAGCCCTTTGCCTTCTTTAAAGCCTTATTGAAATGCTAGATATTATTATTATAATTATTATTATTATTATTATTATTATCATTATTATTATTATTAAATGCTGGCTGTCAGGCAAGGAGAGAGATCACAGAGAGAAGAGGGATGTCAGAACTGACATCAGAGCTAACAGCCTGGATCATAGGGTTATTATCCAGCTCCAGTTAGAGCTGAGAGATTATCTGATCCAGACCTTTTATTTGAACAAATGGGGAAACTGAGGCCTGGGCCGGTTAAGAGCTTGCCCAATATCATGCTGGTTGCAAGTGGCAGATCCAGAATTTGTATCTCAGAACAAAGATTATTAGTACTGAAAGGGGCCTTAGAAAATCAAATCAAAATAGTTAACATTTAGAAAGGGCTTCATAAATGCTACCTATTATGAAAACATCAGGGTTCTTAGAAAATAGACTATTAACTCTGAGGGATCTTAGAGCCCAACTGAGCTGGAGAAATGAGCCCAGAGAGGGAAAGTCTCCTGCTCAGCATCCTACAGGGAGCTCAGTGATGAATCAAGGACTGGAAGTGGGGTTTCCTCTCTTCTGGTTTCCACTGCAACACCTAGATACCCCTCTAACCTCATATGCACAAACTCCCAACCAGAGGTTTGGAGTGTCTCACCTAAGGTCACCTGGCTAGTAAGAGATGGACTCCCCAACTTCTCATTGTAACAGGAATGAAATTGGGCCAGCTTGCTTTCTCTGTATTCATACACGTCAATAGCCCTGAATGTTGTATTAGTTTCAAGCTTAAGGCCATATTCCTCTGCTAGTTCTCCCCCAAACATCACAGCCCACACACATACACACGCTCTGGTCCCTAGCCTTACAGTGAAAATGGAATTTCTGTTGGACTCCTGACTTTTCCAGCTCAAAATATGGGCAATTCTGTCAACTATAGATAGGGAATTTTCCATGGCTTCTCCTTGGAGCATCGATTGGAGAAGCAAAGGTTCATACTGTGAAAACAGCCTGAGATTTGGAATAGAAAGCTTGGCTTCCTGTCTAGCTTTTGCCAACTGACGATACCTGACCTTGGCAAATCCCTTCCCCTCTTAGGATATCAGTTTCTTTGAAAGGGTCCAACCAGATGGCCTCTAAGGGCCCTTCTGGCTTTGATATTCTACGTTTTAACACAATCCAAACTTTTCAGAATTCTTGGGGAGTTCAAAGTATTGGGCCAACAGAGGAAGAGCAGAAGCCGAGTTTTGTCTTTATGAAGTTTGGCCCTTTTGGGTAGATGGGCAGCACCTACCTGGAACCACGAGAGGACGAGAAAAAACAGGAGAGTGAAGTGTATGATTCAGACCCAGGAGAGATTGGTTGGCTCAGGGTGGTTTCTGGAATAGACGGCTGGAATTTGCCTTGTATGAAGAAGCCTTACCTGGAGGGAAATGCTTGGTTTCGTGAACTCAAAAGTGTCGAGTTGTCATTGTTATTTCTGCTAGGGCAGGAGTGGGGAACCTGCACTTGAGGACCTAGAGGGCCTCGTGTGGCCTCGAGGCCTCCGGTTCCCCAGCCCTGTGCTGGAGGAAGGAGGCTGGACTCCTAGAGGCCCCCCCCCCCAGGTTCTCCCTAGCTCTGAGGTGGGCAAAGGGCTTGGAGTTTTCTGTTCAATAGCATCCACCCCAAGAGCTGGTGCCTGCTGATGGTATCTCCAAGGTCTCAAAAATCCTTTCTGTGAGCTCAGCTTCAGCATGTCTCCAGCCCTTCTCCTTTCATGCAGGCCCTTTGGGGAAAGTTCTTCACCAAAAAATCCCTGTCCTTCTCTGGAGTTACCGGCACCAAGTCAATCACCATACAGTACTATCCATCCCGAGATAACTTTATAGTTGGGAAGTGGGCTAAGAGCCTACCTGCTCACAAATGACAGAGGGGACTCCCCATTAGTCTTAACAGCCTTTCTGAAAAAGGCACTGACACTCAGTTACAATATTTGTCATTTATCTAGAATTCCTTCCCTATCCAAATGGCACATCACTCAAGGACTAGCTCAAATACCACCTGCTCTAGGAAGTTTTCTCTGATTTCCCCCACCTCCAGCCATCAGTGAGGTTTCCATTCTTTCTGAACCCGCATAGCAGTCAGTTTGTACCCCTCTTAAGGACACTGGGTCCTACGAGGCATTGAGGTGTCTGAGTGGATAGAGTGCTGGAGGAGTCAGGAAGACTGGAGTTCAAATCTTGTCTCACATACTTACTAGCTGTGTGCCCCTGAGCAAGTCACTTAACCTCTATCTGCCTCAGTTTCCTCAACTGTAAAATGGGGATGATACTAAATAGCACTTTAAGACCGCCCCCCGCCCCAGGTTTTTGTGAGGATAAAATAAGATAATACTTGTAAAGCTCTTAGCACAGTGCCTAGCACATGGCAAATACTTATTACATGTCTTCCTTCTCCTGCTTCTCAGGTCAAGTCCATTGTTGTTTTTGAGTCATTTTAGTCTCATCTGACTCTTCATGACCCCATGGGGGGGGTTTCTTGGCAACGATCCTGGAGAGGTTTGCCATTTCCTGGAGACCAGCTCATTTTATAGATGAGGAAACTGAGGCCAACAGGGTTAAGTGACTTGCACAGGGTCACACAGCTAGTAAGTGTCTGAGGCCAGATTTGAACTCGGGTCTTCCTGATTCTAGACTCATAGGGCCAAGCAAAAGTTTTGACATATAGTTGAGTTCAGGAAAGGGATTGCTGGTTGAAGAGAATTGGCAAAGCCACACTTGGAGAACCTTGAGACATTCTCAGTATTCTGGGCTTCTAATCCAAGGTACATAAGGATATTGCAAGTTGCTCTTAGACCAAGAAGATCTGGGTTCAAGTCCTGGCTAACTGTGTGAACCTATGGGGCAATCCACTTTATCTGCTCTGATGTAGTTTTCCCATCTATAAAATGGGCATTCTAACCTGTATCACAGAGCTACTGTGAGGAAAGTAAGTGCTTTGCAAACCTTTAAAGCATAATAGAAATGGGAAATCAACAGAATTCAGAACCACCAAACCTCTTCTGTGACCTTGAAGGGAAGAAGCACAACCCAGTGGGAAAAGA